TGGCTGCCATGCCAAATCATGCACCTGCTTGCTTTTCTGTTTAATTTAAGTGTTTTTGTGAACGTATATGCTTTAATAACAAATAATTGTAACATTTTACAGTAAGGTTCCATTAGTTAATGTTAGTTAATGTATTAAAGTGTATTAAAGTGTTAGTTAATTATTGTAAAGTGTTACCCAAATAATGTATTTTGAGCGTTCATTTGAAACTAAGCGCAATAAAAGCCCAAGTCGTGCGTCCTGGCGCCGGGCCTGAGTAGGGGCCTAGCCTACTTCATCTTCTCTAGCAAGCATCTGCCTCAACATGATCCAATTCAAAACAAACAGAAACCAAATATGAACAACTGTAGAGACTTCACTTCTTGAACGACACAAAACAGTTTTTTTTTTCTACAGGCTCGTGCGCAGTAAATTTCGACCTCCATAACCACAGCTGGCGCTGTTGTTATTGTAGCGCTCATATAGTCTCTCTGCATCACGTGTTCTTTTTTATTGGGCTGTGGTCCCTTTAACATCCAAATCATACGGCGTGGTAACTTTAGGAAGTCGAGCATATGAAGAATATTTCCTCATGACAGTTTATTTATGTTAGACCGACATCGATATCTAATATTCTTATGAGTTGCATCTGATCCTAATTGTGTCTAAATACTGTCAGATTGTCAGTTGCCTGTCATCAGCTTTGGTCTCCTGGCCGGTGTAGTTTATTTGATGATTTTGAATAAATAACGGTTTAACGATAATCGGTGAAAATCATGTCACAAGAGCTGGAGCGCATCCTGGCCCGGCTGACAGAACCGGACAACGCCGTTATCCAGCAGGTAACGTTAGAAATACTTATATGAAACTGTCATCCTGGTATATTTGATGCATTTAATATTGATTATGTGAGCAAGAGGACGTTATCAGTTATACGTTAGCTGTAAAGAAAAGTGTTAAGTATTTGTTTGATTATCTTTTAATAATTTCTACGCACATGATTAAATTTAAGTTATGTAATGTCCCTTATCAGGCCACAGCTGAGCTGAAACAGACATTTAAAGATCCAGCTATCATCCCTGCTTTATGTGCGGTTATGACTGGATCCCAGAACCCACAGGTACTGTCATTCATCTCAGCCCTTATGCTAGTTTTCATAGTCCTATATTTAAAGCCTATAATTTTTGCTTCAGGCCCGTCAGTCGGCTGCAGTGATGCTCAGGATGAGAGTCAGAAAACACTGGAAGAAAATCAGTCCAGACCACAGAGAAAGGTTTGGGACTTCTTACTTGAAGCAAATGATAAGATAATAATTTCATCTACTTTTCTGCTGTACATTTTCTAATTTGTGACCAGTTGTTTTCATCCCGCTCCCTTAGTCTGAAGGCAGTGGTGCTGCAGGCTTTACAGCAAGAAACTGAGTAAGTCTGGCTGTGCATGGTACAGAGTGATAACATAATAATAACACAACCATAATACTGAAGGATGACTATATTTACATTTGCACTGTACTCCCCAAGTAGAATACTGTGTTCCTTAGAGCTACAGTAATTGGTAATACCAGAGGTTACTAATGCACTTTGGCATATGCATTTTACTTCAAGTTTTTAAATTTTTTTCTTTATATCCATTTCTCAGGCACACAGTTCGCCACTCTCTCTCTCAGCTGAGCGCCGTCCTGGTGAAGCATGAGACCCCAGACCGCTGGCCTGCTCTTCTCGCCCTATTAAACCAGTCTACTAAAAGCAGTAACCCACAGGATAGACAGGTAACCCTGCTTAACTTGTTACAGAAAATGTCTGAGCCACTACCATGGGATATTTATTGTATCAGATCATTACCGTATTCATAAATCATGGTTTTGACATGATACCATACTGCATTACTGCAAAAATGTGCTACTTTAAACATTTTGTTAGTGACCAAAAATACTCTAATAATATTTATTAATAATTAATTTATTTCTAATTAAAATTTATTTTAGTTGTAAATTCATTAATATTTGCTATTTACTTGTTTACTAATTTGAACATGAATACATTTATAG